CCGAGCATAGTATATGTCTTTTTCGCATGGAGTACAAGCAGATAAAACAAAAAAGAGCTCACCTAGACGACATCAAAGCCTCCTACAATGCATGTATGGGAAAACAATAGTGCACACTGACTATAGGAACCAATAATAGTGTACGTCCATTTCATATTGAATACAAGAAGATAAAATAGAGAAGAAGACCCAAGCATAGTGTACGTCCCTTTCATATTGAATACAAGCAGACAAAATAGAGAAGAACTCACCTAGTACCCCAAGGCCCAAGTTTGAGAATTCAAGGAGAAAGAAGATGTGATGCATGGTTTCACATTTCGATGGGTCTGACCGATCAAGACTTTTTGACCATTTTGGTCTGTAACCATTGATTTATTGGGTGGTTAGTTGTAGCAAGAAAACGTGTATATATAGCCATGCACATTTACCGATCAGTACTCAATGTTTCCAGAGTCACTAATCAGTATCATTAATATTTGCATTCCCAAAAAACATTCAAATTTTCTATGATGGATGATGTAGAATTGCATTCCAAAAAACCGACCAAAATCAGTAATGGATAGCCTTCAAATACGATGAATAATAGCATTCCAAAAAACCGGCATAAATGTGTGATAGATAGGATTCAAAATCTATGAATAATAGCACTCCAAAAAAGGGCTAAAATTTGTGATGGATAACTTTCAAAATTGATTAATAATTGCAGTCAAAATATCGGCCAAAATCTGTGGTGGATAGCCTTCAAAATCCACGAATGATTGTATTCTACAAAACCAGTCAAAATATGTGATGGATGGCCTTCAAAATCGATAAATTAATGCATTCAAAATATCGGCCAAAATCTGTGATGGATAGCCTTCAAAATCCACGAATGATTGTATTCTGAAAAAGCAGTCAACATATGTGACAGATAACCTTCAAAATTGATGAATAAATGCATTCAAAAATATCGGCCAAAATCTGTGATGGATAGCCTTCAAAATCCACGAATGATTGTATACTGAAAAACCAGTCAAAATATGTGATGGATAGCCTTCAAAATCGAGAAAAAATGCATTAAAAAATATCGGTCAAAATATGTGATGGATAGCCTTCAAAATCCACGAATGATTGTATTATGAAAAACCAATCAAAATATGTGATGGATAGCCTTCAAAATCGATGAATAAATGCATTCAAAAATATTAGCCAAAATCTATGATGGATAGCCTTCAAAATCCACGAATGATTGTATTATGAAAAACCAGTCAAAATATGTGACAGATAGTCTTCAAAATCGATGAATAAATGCATTCAAAAATATCGGCCAAAATCTATGATGGATAGACTTCAAAATCCACGAATGATTGTATATTGAAAAACCAGTCAAAATATGTGATGGATAGCCTTCAAAATCGATGAAAAATGCACTAAAAATATTGGTCAAAATCTGTGATGGATAGTCTTCAAAATCCACGAATGATTGTATTCTGAAAAACCAATCAAAATATGTGATGGATAGCCTTCAAAATCGATGAATAAATGCATTCGAAAATATCAACCAAAATCTGTGATGGATAGCTTTCAAAATCCACGAATGATTGTATTATGAAAAACCAGTCAAAATATGTGATGGATAGCCTTCAAAATCGATGAATAAATGCATTAAAAAATATAAGCCAAAATCTTTTATGGATAGCCTTCAAAATAGACGAATAATAGCATTCCAAAAAACCAGTCAAAATATGTGATGCAAGCCTTCAAAATTGATGAATAAATGCATTAAAAAATATCGGCCAAAATCTGTGATGGATAGCCTTCAAAATCTACGAATGATTGTATTATGAAAAACCAGTCAAAATATGCGATGGATAGCCTTTAAAATTGATGAATAAATGCATTCAAAAATATTAGCCAAAAGCTGTGATGGATAGCCTTCAAAATGGACGAATAATAGCATTCCAAAAAACCGGACAAAATCTATAATGGATAGCCTTCAAAATCGATGAATAATAACATTCTAAAAAACCAAACAAAATATGTGATGGATAGCCTTCAAAATTGATGAATAATTCCCTTCCAAAAAACTATCCAAAATCTGTGATGAATAGCCCTCAAAATCGATGAATAATTGCATTGCAAAAAGAAGACCTAAATATCTGGTGGATAGCCTGCAAAATCGATGAATAATAGCATTAAAAAAACAGCCAAATCTGTGATGATAGCCTTCAAAATCGACGAATAATTGCATTGATAATATTGAACGAAATCTATGATGGATAACTTTCAAATCGATAAAAAAATTACATTAAAAAAAATTCTACCAAAATTTGTGATGCATAACCTTCAAAATCGACAAATAATAGCATTCCAAAAAACCTTTCAAAATCTGTAATGGATATCCTTCAAAATGGATGAATAATAGCAGTCCAAAAAAACAGCTAAAATTTGAGATGGATTGCTTTCAAAATCAACGTATAATTGCATTAAAAATATGGGCATAAATATGTGTTGGATAGCATTCAAAATCGAAGAATAATAGCATTAAAAATACCGGCCAAAAATCTGTGATGGATAGCCTTCGAAATCGATGAATAATTGCATTCCAAAAAATCGGCAAAAATCTATGATGGATAGCCTTCAAAATTGATGAATAATGGCATTACAAAATACCGGCCAAAATCAGTGATGGATTCCCTCAAAATCAATAAATAATTGAATTCTCAAAAAACAACCAAAATCTTTGATTGATAGCTTTCAAAATCGATGAAAATTTGCATTCTAAAAAACCGACCAAAATCTGTAACAGATAGACTTCAAAATCAATGAATAATAGCATTCATAGAAATGATGGATAACAGCCTTCGTAGCACAAGCAAGCTGCCAGAAAAACAACCTTCGTAGCAACTTCGACCCTTTTGTTTGAAGCCTTACAGATATCTAATCTTTCATCCAATGCCTTGAATTTGTATAAAAACATACCTAATTTAACGTGGTATAAGCTCGTGGACTCGACTCGCATTCATGCTTCTCGAATTGAGCTCCAAAATAGGCTTCACAAACACGTTTCCAGACTTACCCATTTCCAGGCAGTTTCCCAATTTTGGCATAGCCTTTTGATGAGGTTCAAAAATGTTCTTCTGGACTTCCTATCGAGCTCTCAATCACTTCAATATGTAGAGGGACACTCCAGCTTCAAAACAAGTCATTAGTCTTCAATTTCCATCTAGCCAATTGTATGATATAAATATCCAAAGTAGGCGCCATGAACTGTATTTACACTGAAACAACATATTAGGTCGACCGAATCCTAAATGAGGTCGACCAGATCCTATATGAGGTCGACCGAATTCTAGATAAGGTCGACCTAATCCTAACTGAGGTCGACCGGAAAGTGCAAGTCACCGTGACATGCATGTCACCGTAGGCATACCCTAACATTTAAAGTCCATGAATAATTGCATTAAAAAATATGGGCGAAAATCTGAAATGAATAGCCTTCAAAATTGAAGAACAAAAAGCATTACAAAAAACAGGCCAAAGGCTATGATGGATAGCCTTCAAAATTGATGAATAATAGCATTCAAAAAAACTGGCCAAAATCTGTGATGGATAGCCTTCAAAATCAATGAATAATTGCATTCCAAAAAACTGGCCAAATATGTGTGGATAGCCTTCAAAATCAATGAATAATCGTATTAAAAAAACAGGTCAAAATCTATGATATATAGCCTTCAAAATCGATGAATAATCGTATTAAAAAAACAGGTCAAAATCTGTGATATATAGCCTTCAAAATCGATGCATAATAGCATTAGAATAAACCGGTCAAATCTGTGATGGATAACCTTCAAAATTGATGAATAATAGCATTTAAAAGTACCAGTCACGGTGAGCCTTCAAAATCGATAGATAATAGCATTCAAAAATATCGGCCAAAATCTGTGATGGATAGCTTTCAATATCGATGAAGAATTGTATTCCAAAAAATAGTCAAAACCAGTGATGGATAGCCTTCAAAATCGATAAAGAATTGCATTCCAAAAAACCCGCCAAAATCTGTCATAGATAGCCTTTAAAACCAATGAACAATAGCATTAGAAAAAATCGGCTAAAATTTGTGATGGACAGACTTCAAAATCAATCAATAATTGCATTAAAAAATATCGGCACAAATATGTGAAGCGTAGCCTTCCAATTTGATGAATAATAGCATTCCAAAACACCGACCAAAATTTGTGATGGATAGCCTTCAAAATCGATGAAGAATTGAATTCAAATAAACAAGCCAAATTTTGTGATGGTTAGCTTGCAAAATCAATGAATAAAGCATTAGAAAAAACAGGTCAAATCTGTGATAGATAGCCTTCAAAACTGATAAGTAAAATTGTTAAAAAAAAATCAGCAATAATATGAGTTATATAGCCTTCAAAATCGTTGAAGAATAGAATTCCAAAAAACTGCTAAAATTTGCAATGGAATGCTTTGAAAATCAATGAATAATTGCATTAAAAATATCGGCCAAAATCTATGATGTATAGTCTTCAAAATCGATGAATAACAACATTAGAAAAAACGGCCAAATCCGTGATTGGATAGCCTTTAAAATCACTAAAAAATAGTATTAAAAAATACAAGCCAAAATCTGAGATGGACAGCCTCAAATTCAATAAATAATAGCATTATGAAAAATAAGCTAATTTTTTTATGAATAGCCTTCAAAATATATGAATAATTGTAGTAAAAAATATCGGCTTAAATCTATGATGGACAGCCTTCAAAATCATTAAATTAATAACATTAAATTTATATTGGCAAATTTTTTTGATAAATAGCTTTCAAAATCGATGAATAATATTATACTAGAAAACTGGCCAAAATCTATGGCTGATAGGCTTCAAACGATGGATCGATCTTCTATTCTCTTAGATTCTCTTACTTAAAGATACATAAACATCTTGGAACATATTCACATTACTAAATCTACCCTAGCCCCAGGCTACAACATTAACAATCTGACACACAATGCATCCTCAACCACCTTTATTTTCACTATTACTTCTCCCAATTCAAATCATATATCCACGATAAGGATGCTATATAATACCCATCAAAGGAACCTCTCACAACAAGAATGATACGGCTGCGGAGAGGTCATTGTGGAAGCCGATCTGCCAGCTGCGGAAACTGCTGCAGCAACCAACTCACTCCCCTCATAGCCGTCTGTGATCAAATTTGGTTACCAAAAAAACAAACAATCAGACAGCAATTTCAACGTACGATTTCTCGATTTATACGTGTCGACCTTTCGCGTTACGTGACGCAAAATACGAAGCACTATATCTACTACGTACCAACACTGCCTCTCCGGGCTTCATAGCAGGCTCCACACTATCCCTCGCGTAACTGTTCATCCACAAATTTGCAGGTTTTACAAGTCAACGAGAAAGTGATCGGGAAAAAAAGGGGAGAAAACTGTGACAGTGTCTCCTACATTATCTGTCGCTGGCCATTGTTAACCTCCAGGCGGTAAAAGCAGCAGCCTTTGCTGAACGGGAAAGGCTTTCCCTTCCATTCCGGACCGTTCCATTCCGATCAGCCATCAGCGAGTGCATTCCGGCGAGGGAATGGCGGAAGGGCAGCCGCGTGAGTTCTGTGAAAGAAGTGGGATGGAAGGAGGGACGAGGATGGCAATGTTGATACAGTGGACCTCATTGAGGAAAGTGATCGGCAGCCACCGCCGCGTCGATTCTCTCCGGCGGGTGATGCTGAAATTAGCTGATTGGACAGTGAGAGAAATTCTGTTTTGTTTCCCCCAACTGAAACCGAATACGTGGTTTATATAGTCATTGCACATTTACAGATCAGTACTCGATGTTTCTACAGTCACTAATCAGTACAGTTATTTGCAAGGAGGTACGTTGAGACACACGGAAAATACAAAAATTCCCAAGAAGTTCTTAAAACCATCTATTCCACAACAATGGACTGGAAAACCCTGCAGACCCTCTACATCAATTCTCAGCATGTTTCATATTCTTAGTTTCCACGTAACAAGATTAACTTTCCTTGATTTCAAGGAGACTCGACGATTAGGTTGATTGCATTACTGATGCTACAACTAACGAGAATTCGCGTAACGATTGGATTCGTGTCATTCATGCCATTGATCTCGTTTCTCCCTTTCTTGTATAACAGGCTCAAGCTATAGTTCAACTGCCTAATGAATGGACTGACTTGCATGTTTAAAGGAAAAATTATTCATTCATCAAGCAACAAAATCATAATCCATACTATTGATTCGTCATCTATGCTCGTCATCAATTCAACATTCAGTATGTTGAATAATGTAACCATGTATGAGAGCTCTAGTGAGCAACCAACACTTTGTTGATACAAATAGAAAATCATTCATAAAAAAAAAGGTAACTAAGGGTAACCTTATGAATATGTGGTTTGTATGCATTAAAGCATTCACACCCCTAGTCTAAAAATGCATCAAGTTCTGTTGCAAAGATAGATACGTACCTTGCCATCTCTTTCTCTCTGTATGAAAAATCGAACTGGCTGTACTTAATATAGTAGAGAGACCCCGCATCTTTTGATTTTCAACTTCCTCTTCCATGGCTTGGCATCTCCTCCATGAGGGTAGAAACTGAATGAAACAGTGTGGCCAGCATATTTCACATACCATGCTTCTCCTTCTCCTACACTGCCCGCTTTCTCATCTGATGCGAACCATAATAATACATTGTCCGACGACTTCATCGCATACCACCGAGGAACATAACAGCTCCAAGAGGCAACAGTTACCGTACCAATGACGCAATCACATATCACAAGCCAAGCATTTGAAGATGAACACACCACACCAAATGCAATTCCTCTGATTAGTTGCTTGCTGCTAGTGCGGTTAGCAGGAGGCAATTGCACCGTCAAACATGAATTATCCTTATCCTTCATGCTTTTGTAGGCAAACCATTCGGGAATCTTATTCCCTAAATATTGAAGCTCATATGGCTGTTATAAAAAAAATGGTTTGACGTTTTGTTCAATCACAATAATAATATAATATATATGATAAAGATGAAAACACCAACATAGCAGTAGGGTGGTATTTATGTACCTTATAACGCTCAAATGATGGTGCATATATCAGGTAATTTGCCACGATTTCATCAGGAATTGTCATGTCTAATTTGGGGCAATTGTACAACAAGAGGCGCCTCCAACTCAGCTTGGTGGCATTGCTTGGTAGAGCTTGTAAGGACTTGCAGCCACCGACATCCAACTCAGAGAGACTTGGTGGAAGTTCCGGCAAAGATACAATACTTTCACATCCGCTCAACCACAACTTGTTTAGCTTTGGTAGTTTGTGGATATTGCTCGGGATAGACTCAAGGCTTTTGCAGTTGATCAGTTCTATTGACTGGAGTCGGTCCAATTCGTGGATAGAGGAAGGTAACGACTTAATGCCAGTGTTTGACAAACTGAGACACTGTAGATTTACTAAATTGTTGATGCTGGATGGGAGGCTTTTGAGACGTTCACACTGATGTATCCAAAAACAGGATAAAAAATTCACAGGCTCTGAGATCTCTGGCAGACTATCAAGAAGTGGGCTGCTACTAATAAAGAGATCAAAAGAGACCATGTTCCATATATACTTCGGCAGGCTCTTGAGTTGTGAGTTACCGTGCAAACTCAGCGAAGCAAATTTTGGCAGTAACTTGGAAGAAGCCTGATGATGATCATAAGAATTCATCTCTTTCATTGTTGTATGGTTCAGATTAAACTCATTCAAGCTTGCTGAAACTGCGGGGAAGTTGGTAATGATTTTTCCATACAGACGTAGGCTGCCACCTTCCTTGACACTGTAAATTGCACTCGGTAACTCCCTGACCGGTGTCCCACTTAAATCCAATTCCATCAACTCTCCTGAATTAATCTCCGGACAGTGCCTGACCATTGGACAATCGTTTATCTTAACATGCTTGAGGACCTTTGAGTTGAGCTTTGATGGAAGACGCCTGATGTTCACACAACGTCCAAGGTCAAGTGTTATCAGCTTGTCCAGATATTGAACATGAGAGGGTACTTCAACTAGGCTTGTACAATCCTGAAGTAGGAGTTCTTCAAGTTGTAAAGAGCACGAGAGATCTGGGATAACAGTAAGATTGGAGCAAAAGGAGAGATCGAGCACCATCAGATTCACTAGCTTTGGCTGCAAAAATAAAGAAGAATTAACTGAAACAACAACCAAATAATGATCAAAACACCTACGTGAAGCCTTTAATCAGGGTAGCTTTTGCCTCGTCCGGTTAGCCGGAAATTTTACAAAACTTCATTTTAGAGTTACATTTTCACCCTTTCAAATCACAAATTAACTAAATTCTTCAACCATACAATCACATCTTAAACAACAAAATCTCAAACAAAATTAATATTCAACTTCAATCTTTTTAATTCCCAACTCAAACCCATTAATCATTGAAAAATATACTCTATAGACCATGTACTCTTAACACAAAAAACCAGAACCTGTTCCTAGCAGCCTAAACTCTAAATTCCAAAGCACTTCAACTAAGCTGAAATGAGAAATGGTAATTCGTTTTTAATTTATTAGTTGATACGATTATCTATGAAATTAACTATCTTCCATTGAATGTGATTCAACTGCTAAACATTTTCATCATAAAAATTTTACCTAAACATTGATATTAAAGCAGCCAATGTCTACCCACACATTGTAGTCTCTCAACCTGATGAATCCTACATATCTAGTTAGTGCAGGAGGTCCCAAACCATTTAGCTAAAGGGAAGAATAAGGGTGAATGACAGAATGTTAATAAGAGATAATAACTAATACTGAAAATGAAAATTACTTATTGATCAAATTTTACTTTTTTTATTGAAAAAAATTACTTGATCAAATCCTTCCCAACATTTTTTAATTGGGCTCCATCGTAAAATAAGATGGACGAGATGACAGGGATAAAATCCTGAAGGTAGTGACTTGGAAGGGTACTCATCCCATTGCAGCCATCTCAACCCGTTAGGAAGAAAGTCAAGCCCACCATATGGCAATTTTATATTCTTCTTCCCAATTGGATAGTGACAAGTAATACAGAATTTGAGAAACGTGAGAGAATCCATCCCTTCAAAGGCATTTGCTTCCAGATGCATCTCTTTTGCATTATGAAGATCCAAACTGATACCTTCAACTGTTCTCAGTCCCTCCAATGCACAATTGCCTTTCGGATGCATGTTTGTTGCTTTTCTTCTTTTCCTTCTTGGTGGAACCATCGTCTTTATGCCTTTGAAGAAGGATGTCATTAAAAATGTAGTCCAACTCTCAACCTTTGTAGTTGCCAATAATTTGTGAACATCATCAGGGTCTATCAGCCTAGTGCATTTGCCAATGCTCATCGCCATTTCCTTGAGCAGATCATGCACCTCAATCTTCTCTCCATCCTTGTAAGAGATACAAAGCAAGAGGGACATATCAATTAGGTCCTTCACCTTAGCACGAGCGGATGAATACAAGGTTTCCATATATCCAACCAGTCTGGATCTTGATATACCATGAAGGAAATAAGCAACATCCAAGAACAGTCGCTTCTCATCAGCTCCCATTTTATCGTAGCTTCTCCTAAGAACATCACCAATTTCTGGATTTTGAATCAGGCTAAATCCCCCCAAGAAACTCTCCCAGTAATCTTTGTCCTCACGAAACAACATACCGCCCAAAACTCTAAGCGCCAAGGGGTTACCCTGGCAGTACGATGTAGCCCGGCATGAAATATCCATCCAATTATCTGGGGGGCAATGGGTTCTGAATGCACGTAAGCTGAATAGTTGAATAGTTTCGCTGTCATTCAAACAAGCAACTGCGTATATCTTTGCCATTGCATTATGGAGCACTTTCTTATTTCTAGTTGTAACGATGATTATGCTCCCTGGGGCGAAGATTTTGGTGAGATTGAAGACATCACCTAAAAGCAATTGCTCTAGTTGGTGAAGAGTATCCACATCGTCAAGAACAATGAACACCTTCGAGCGAGAAAGGCGTGCTCTTCGATAATGTATATCTAAATCTTCATGACTTATATTACTCTCGGACAAAATTTTTGAATAGAGCTCATGCACTATTCCCTCAACCCCCTGCTGCCTTTCACAAATTTGGTTGATGTTCCGGATGAAAAGATGTTTGATGTCTTTCTTGGATGAAACCATCCTTCCATAGCAAGCTTTTGCCAGGGTTGTTTTCCCTACACCACCCATTCCCCACAGCCCAATGATGCGAATACCATCTGCTTCATCCATGGCTAACAATCGCTCAACCTCCAAAATGCGTGAACCCATACCAACCAAGTTTTCGGACTTGATGCTTGGTGACATGTCTATTAGTTGCTTCTGAACATCTTCCACAATCTTCTCAATCAGTTCAGATTCAATCCTAGGAGGCAAGACAGAGAGGAAATAAAGCCCAGATGAAAAAGAAATATCAGTTATGACAATAAAAGCACAATATGAAACAGGAAGTATCCTTAGGGTGTTGACTTAGTGTACTGATTCGGTTAAAAGTTGAACGAAATTCATAAGAACTAAGAGACCATTTTATGATAAACTATCACCTACATATAAAACCCATTAAAACGAAAATTAAATAAGGAATGTTAATCATTTCAGGTAGAATAAGGATGTTAATAATAGATGAGGGAGAAGGAGTTCTCACGGGATCGCCATGGAGGTATGTCCAGCACAATTAGCCACCGCTTTTAGAGCATCTCTCCATCTCTTGTTGTCCACCGAGTTCGCTTTAAGCTCGTCATCGATGATAGCAGAGTAACAGCCAGAGTCCCCTGCCACATCAGACCAACAAACCTTGTAGAATACCGGCAGTGCTCGATGGCCGAATTTCGCCATGCTTTGGACAACCGTGGCCACCTCGTCCAAGCACCAGGGTGAATCCGCAAAATTTTCTGAAAAAATCACGATCGAAAGTGCAGATCGTTGGAGGACGGAGAGGAGCTCGTCGATGGACTCTGTCTTCCGGAGCATGGTGTCGATGAAGGCCTTGATTTTATTGTCAGAGAAAGCAGCCATGAGGTGGCTTGCAAAACCATGGCGGGTGTCGCCGCCTCTGAAGCACAAGAAAACATCATAGTCCCATTCGCCAGTATACATGATACTATGAGACGAAACATCCATTAAAGCTGATGAAGAGGAGGAGGCCATTACAATATGGGGATCTTGATATGTTCTTCTTTCTGATCAGTTTGGCCAAGGGACAATATTATAATCACAATTCACAACTAATAGTGTGTGTTGACTTGTTGGGTCATCTTTCCAGTATAATTAAGAGTTAAAGGTATGTGGACAGTTTACTGTATACATGCGCCACCTATACAAAATGCTTCGAAATTTCTTGGCGTCATTAAATAGCATTCAACCATATAACCCAAAAAGTCTTCAAGGAAAGAGGAAAGAAATTGCCAAGATTATGATGGGAGGTGGGGGCATTTCATACATGCTTTATTGGTTTAGGGAATGATGGGAAGGAGAAGAAAATTTCTGTCCACCGAGATATGCAATTTGAGATTTATCTCTATACATCTAAATCATTGGATTTTTATAAGAGATTACCCTACCCTGTTACCCACGACAGAGAAGCATTCTCATATAAGAGAGCCAAACGTATTAATCTGTAGGAAACCCGACTCCGGGTTAGGGAGGGAGAGGGCCGGTCGGCCAAGAGGGGAAGGGAGAGAGTGGCAAACTTGTTATTTTGGGTTATTTCGGTTTACACTACTTAAAGACTCATTTCATTAGTTTTGGGAATTAAGCAATAAGAATCATAAAACTATCAAATCCCTAATCTCTCTTCTCTCTCTTGTTCTTCCCCAATTCCCCAAATCCCTAATTTCTTCCTTTCTCAATCCCTAAAATCCCAATTGGAATTTCTTGTGTTCTACATCTGGTATCAGAGCCCCGATCTTCGATGAGTTCTTCCAAACTCTCGGACCTGTCATGGGCAGAATTGAGAGACCGAGCACGCAGCATCGGAAGGAGGTGGCTGGCCGACGAACCGGAGGCCGCGCGCCCCGCCCCAGCGACCCCCGCCGCCGCGCGCCTGCCCCCGCCGGCCTCTCCGGCGCCGCGCGCCGCCGTTTCCCCTGCGTCGTCGGGCTGCTCCCCGCCGAGCGCCGCCGTCGCGCCTCCCGCGGTCCGCCCCGCGGCGACTGCCGCGTCCTCTCCAGTCGCGCCAAGCGGCCCCCATCCCTGCCTCTCGCTGCACTCGATGGCGGGCTGGGCTTCCCCGGGGACTCTCCGTTTCCGAGCTCGAATAGAGGATCGTTTGGCCATTACTCTGGTCGACAGTGGCGCATCATTGAACTTTGTCGGCGAGGAATTCGCCAAGCAACTGCAACAGGTGGCCGAGACCACTGATTCCATGGTGGTGAAGGTGGCGAATGGTTCTACACTGAGCTGTGGAGGAGTACTTCGAGGTATATCTTTGGAAATTCAAGGTCTACCTATATGCACTGATCTGTATATACTGCCAATCAAGGGATTCGATATTATTTTGGGGATTCCTTGGCTACAGAGTTTGGGTCCTGTGATTAGTGATTGGCGCAGGTTGACCATGCGTTTCAAATGGAGGGATAAGGATTGGCAGCTGCAGGGCCTCACCACCGTGGCTGGTCCTATCTCGATTGAGGACTGTGGTCCGGAGGGTGAAGCCGATTTGGCCATTCTGTGTTGGCCAATTGAAGACGGGGCGCCGCCGGTGCTCCATCCGGAGCTTCAGGAGCTGCTTGGACTTTATTCGGATTTATTCGAGACTCCCACTGCCTTACCTCCTCACCGACTAGTGGATCATCAGATTCAGTTGAAAGAGGGAGTGGAGGCAGTGAATGTGAGACCGTACAGATATGGGCATTCGCAGAAGGAGGAGATCGAGAGACAGGTTTCTGAGATGCTGCTCACGGGCTTGATTAGGCCGAGCACCAGCCCGTTCTCATCACCGGTGTTGTTAGTGAGGAAGAAGGATGGGACCTGGCGCTTCTGCACGGATTATCGGGCTCTGAATGCAGCCACAGTGAAGGATCGCTTCCCCATCCCGACAGTGGATGATATGTTGGATGAGCTTCATGGATCCCGCTATTTTTCGAAGCTGGATTTGCGGGCAGGTTATCACCAGATCCGGATGCAGGAGGAGGATGTCCATAAGACGGCGTTTCGCACTCATAACGGGCACTATGAGTACTTGGTGATGCCCTTCGGATTATGCAATGCGCCGTCCACCTTCCAGGCTGCCATGAATGACATTTTTCGGCCCCTGCTGCGCCGGTATGTCCTGGTTTTCTTCGATGATATTCTGATTTACAGCCCTTCTTGGGCAGATCACTTGGCTCATTTGCAGGCAGTATTCGAGATTCTACGGGCAAATCAGTACTTTATCAAGGCATCCAAGTGCGAGTTCGGGGTGCAGGAGGTAGAGTATTTGGGTCACATGGTGACTCCACAGGGTGTGAAGGTGAACCAGGCCAAGATTCAGGCCATGGTAGACTGGCCGGTTCCCACGACGGTGACGGAGTTGCGTGGTTTTCTGGGTCTGACCGGGTATTACCGGAAGTTTGTGCAGGGGTACAGCATGATCGCCCGGCCATTGACGGATTTACTGAAGAAGGGAGGGTTTGCATGGTCACCAGCAGCGGAGGCTGCATTTCAGCGGCTGAAGCAGGCTATGACGACCACTCCGACGCTAGCCATGCCGGACTTCTCCAAGCCATTTGTGATCGAGGCGGATGCATCGGGCCGGGGAATAGGGGCGGTGTTATCTCAGGACCGCCATCCCATTGCCTTCATGAGCAAGACACTAGCCCCCTCCAAGGAGGCTTGGTCTACGTATAAGAAGGAAATGCAGGCGATTATTACAGCAGTACAGACCTGGCGGCCATATCTCTTGGGGCAGAAGTTTCACATTTACACCGATCACCAGAGCTTGAAGCACCTCCTCGAGCAGCGGGTGTCTACTCCGGATCAGCACAAGTGGGTATCGAAGCTGTTAGGCTACGATTATGAGATCCACTATCGACCGGGACCCACTAATGTGGTGGCGGATGGGTTATCGAGGAAGCCGGGCAGCGAGATCCTCGCCGCAGTGACAGGGCCTGTTCCGCAGTTTTGGGATGAGTTACGGGCATCCATGGAGACCAGTCAGTATTTGCAGGATTGCCGGGAAATCGCCGTGAGCGATAACCCGGGTCATTATTTATTTCGGCAGGGGCTGGTGACGTTCAAGGGTCGAGTCGTTCTTCCTCCGGGCTCGAACCTGGTCACTTCGGTACTTCAGGAGTTCCATGACTCGCCGTTGGGAGGGCATTCCGGCGCCGAGAGGACGCTTCGCAGGATTAAGGGCCACTTTTACTGGCCCAGGATGGCACAGGCAGTGCGAGACTATGTGGAGTCATGCGATACATGCCAGAGAGTGAAGTTGTCTTACCTGCGACCCGCTGGCCTGCTACAGCCGATGCCGGTTCCGGAGCGGGTATGGGAGGACATCAGCATGGACTTCATAGTGGGGTTGCCCCCTTCAGGTGGGAAGACAGTTTTGTTCGTAGTAGTGGATCGGCTCACGAAATATGCTCATTTCATGCCCTTGGCGCATCCGTACACGGCAAAGATGGTGGCCGAGCAGTTTGTTTTGGGAGTGGTGCGACATCACGGATTTCCCAGGTCTATTGTCAGTGATCGTGACCCGGTTTTCTTGAGCAGGTTTTGGCAGGAGGTTTTCGCCATGGCACGGACTGTACTACGCATGAGTTCGGCCTACCATCCACAGACTGATGGACAGACAGAGATAGTTAACAAGTACCTGGAGCAGTATCTGAGGTGCTTTACCCACCAGCAGCCGCGGCAGTGGCTGGCCATGCTTCCTTGGGCGGAATTGTGGTATAATACCACATTTCATAGATCTATTAAGATGACACCGTTCGAGGCGTTGTATGGGAGGTCACCACCGACATTGGTACAGTACAGAGGCGGGTCGAGCTCGGTGGATGCGGTGGACAGGTGGTTGAGCGCGAGAGATGAAGCTCTGGAGCAGTTGAGGACTAATTTGGCTGCAGCGTCCAATAGGATGAAGCAGGCCGAGGATGCAGGGCGGCGGGAAGAGGAGTTTGAGGTGGGGGACTGGGTGCTGTTGAGGTTGCACCCCTACCGGCAGTCTTCGGTTTTTCGGCGGGCATACCAGAAGCTGGCAGCTAGGTACTTCGGGCCGTACGAGATCATCCACAAGGTCAACCCAGTTGCCTATCGACTACAGCTGCCTGCAGGTTCGCGCATACACCCGGTGTTCCACATTTCCTTGCTGAAGAAGTATCGGGGCCAGGCGGACAGGGTGACATCGACGGCCCCTCCGGTGACAGCAGATGGTGACTTGGAGCTCGTTCCTCTCAAGGTACTAGAGACCCGGTGGACAAAACGAGGAGGGCGGCTGGTGGAAGAGAGCTTGGTGCAGTGGAAGCATGTGGAACCGGACGATGCTACTTGGGAGGAGTCAGAGGTGCTACGCCAGAGATTCCCAGCTTTCGACATCGAGGCCGATGTCGATTCTGAAGGAGGAGGGGATGTAGGAAACCCGACTCCGGGTTAGGGAGGGAGAGGGCCGGTCGGCCAAGAGGGGAAGGGAGAGAGTGGCAAACTTGTTATTTTGGGTTATTTCGGTTTACACTACTTAAAGACTCATTTCATTAGTTTTGGGAATTAAGCAATAAGAATCATAAAACTATCAAATCCCTAATCTCTCTTCTCTCTCTTGTTCTTCCCCAATTCCCCAAATCCCTAATTTCTTCCTTTCTCAATCCCTAAAATCCCAATTGGAATTTCTTGTGTTCTACATAATCATATTAAAGTGCTGTATCTGTAATAATAGCATTAATATACCTGAGGATGCAGAGATGTCAAAGTGTAGTAGCTACTTTCAACTCCACTACCCTTCCTTGCTTGGTATTGCTCGCAACCACTTGCATAAACTTACATCCATAAACTCAAAAGTTTGGAGCGAGTTCTGGCAAAGATTGAACCTTCCTCAACTCCCATCAATACCTCTCAACATATTTTTTGTCCTTACGAACCCCATGCCACCTCCTGACACTTTTATGGATAATAGGCTTCTGTGGCAGTATAGCACAGCCTTCATAGCAAGTTCAGGCTAGAGTAGTCTTTTTCCTACACCTCCCATCCGCCAAAGCCCAATGTCGCTTGTATCAAATCATTTGTCTACGGCTAATAGTTGCTCAACCTTCAAACCAAAACCAAATTGTCCGATTCCACCCTTGATGGCATCTGTGGCAGTATAGTACAGCCTTCATAGCAAGTTCAGGCTAGAGTAGTCTTTTTCCTACACCACCCATCCGCCAAAGCCCAATGTCGCTTGTATCAAATCATTTGTCTACTGCTAACAGTTGCTCAACCTTCAAACCAAAACCAAATTGTCTGATTCCACCCATGATGGCATCTTTAATAAGTCTTACCAAAACGGAGCCTACCACCACACACCATAGCAAGGTAGTCAACTCTATCCACTACATTATTTTTGGCGAGGGTGACAAAGGTTTGCTATTTATTATTAAGTTCTAGTTAAAGGATTCGAGTCTGAGACCTCCATGTTGAAACCAGCAGTAGTACCAATAGAGCAAGCCCTTGTTCGCCTATCCGCTAGGCTGTGAAAGATGACATGACATAGCCAACGTGTCACGAGAAAAGAATATTATGAATTCCAAAGATGGAAGAGGCAACCCAAGTTGTAGCAAGCGTTGCACAGCGTAGCAATAATTCTAAGAATGATACTGACAACAGTCTTTCCAAAAAGCGAAAAGCAGAGAGACCATGGAAATACTGGGACAACAACGTAAATAGCAGCACGCCAGGATGAACAACATTCATAATCACAAAAATGAAAACAAGATACCCAGTGTTTCTTCCAGAAGACCAAGATATGTACCTTGCCATCTGTTTCTTCTTTGAACGGAAGTTAATCGTCAAACTGTTTGAACTCAGTACAGTGGGGAGACCCCATATCTTTTTATTGTCAAGTTCTTCCGCTGCTTTTCACCTTCCGTATATCTTAAATCAGGGCTGAAGCGGAGCAAAACAGTCTGGCCAGCATATTTTACAAACCATGCTTCTGTTTCCCCTTCTTTGCTTTGCTTGATCTTGTCGAACCATAACAATACTTGATCTGATGATTTTGTGACATCCCTTGTATTGGCAGAGAAAGAATAAGAGCTCCAAGAAGACATGGTGATGGTGCCAAAGTCGCATTCACATTTCATAATCGGCCAAAAATCAAAGGCATCCGAAGACCACACCACGCCAAATGCAATTCCTTTGATTGGTTGCTTACTGCCAGTGCAGTTTGCAGGGGGCAATTGCACAGTCAAACATGAATTATCCTTATCGGTCACATTTTTGTACTCAAACCACTCTGGAATATCACTCCCCGAATACGCAAGCTCATTCTGGATCTCACAACAGAGAAAGCGGCCACATAAACAGAAAAAAGGTTTAATATTTTGTGCAATGGCTAATAATATAATCATAATGAAATTACTAACGCCAACACAGTGTTTACGGTGTATTTATGTACCTTGGAATGCCGAGACAATATTGCATGGACCAGGTAGTTTGCCATTATTTCATCAGGAAGTATCCTGTCTATTTGTGGGCAATCATAAAACCTGAGACACTTCCAACTCAGCTTAGTGATGTTGCTTGGTAGAGCTTGTAACAACCTGCAACCACTGACATCCAAAATAGAGAGATTTGGTGGAAGTTCAGGCAAATATCGAATACTTGAACATCCCCTCAACTGCAACTCGAGTAGCTTGGGTAGTTTATGGAAATTGCTGGGGATAGACTCGAGGCTTTTGCAATTGCTCAAATCTAAGTGACAGAGTCGTTCCAATTCTTCGATGCTGGAAGGCAAAGACTTAATGCCAGTGTTTCCCAAACGGAGATCAGATAGAGATACTAAATTGTTGATGCTTAATGGGAGACATTTGAGACTTTCACACTCAGTTATATAAAGTAATTTTAAACCATTCACAGGCTCTGATATCTCTGGCAAACTCTCAAGAAGTGGGCTGCCCATAACAGTGAGAGAAGAAGCGGCCATGCTCCATATGCTCTTTGGCAGGCTCTTGAGTTGCGAGTTACCACACAACCTCAAGTTAGAAATTTTCGGCGGTAACTCAAAAGAAGCCTGATGATCATAAGAATTTATCTCTTTCATTGCAGTATGGCACAGCCAAAACATGTCCAAGCTAGCTGAAATTGCTGGGAAGTTGGTGAAGATTTCACCATAGAGATGTAGACTGCCACCCTCCTTGACATGGTATATTGCGTTTGGCAGCTCACTGACAGGTGTCCCATTTAAATCTAATTCCATCAAATCTCCTGAATTAATCTCCGGACAGAACTTGACCTTGGGACAATCATGCATCCGAACGAACTTGAGGAACTTCGAGTTGAGTTTTGACGGAAGACGCTCAAGGTTCAAACAATATCCAAGGTCAAGTATTATCAGCTTCTCTAGACATTGAACATGAGAGGGTAGTTCAACTAGGCTTCTGCATTCAGGAAGTAGGAGTTCCTCAAGTTTTGAAGACTCCGAGAGATCAGGGATAGCAGTAAGATTGAAACAACTGGAGAGGTCGAGCACCACCAGATTCACCAGCTTTGGCTGCCAAATAAACAGAGTATAAAGTTAATTGATCCATTTTCGAAACTGTAAGCTTACGGTCAGAGTGTAGAAATGTATAATGTATAAAAAATCATCGCGAATACTTAAAATTACTTACTTGGTCAAAATTTTCCCAACAATTTTCAATTGGACTCCAGCGTATAATAAGATGGACGAGATATTGGGGATAAATCCCTGAAGGTAGTGATTTGGACGGGTATTCATCCCATTGCAGCCATCTCAACCTGTCAGGAAGAGAGTCAATGCCACCTGATGGCAAATGGATAATCTTCTTCGTCGGTTGATAGTGGTAGATATACTTCAACAATCTCCAGAATTTAAGAAATGTAAGAGAATCCATCCCTTGAAAGGCATTGGCTTCTAGATGCATCTCTTTGGCTTTAGAAAGATTCAAATTAATACCTTCAGTTGTTATAAGTCCCTCCAGTGCACATTTGCCTTTACAATCCATGTCTATAACTTTTCTCCTTTTCCTTCTCGGTGGAACCATCATCTCTATGCCCCTGAAGAAAAGCTCTCTAAAGAATGTTCCCCAACTTTCCACCTTTGTAGTTGTCAACAATTTGTAAATATCATCAGGGTCCACCAACCTGCTGCGTTTGCCGAGCTTTGGTTCCTCGTTCACAATGTCCAAAGCCATTGTCTTGAGCAGATCATGTATCTCAATCTTCTCTCCATACTCACTACAATGGCAGATTAAGAGGGACTTATCAATTAGGTCCTTCACTTTGACATGAGCAGACGGGTACAAGACTGCCAAGTATCCTATCACTGTGGATCTTGATATTCCATGGAGGAAACAAGCAACATCCAAGAACAGTCTTTTCTCATCAGTTCCCATTTTATCATAGCTTCTCCTGAGAATATCACGAATTTGCGGGTTTTGAATCAAACTCAACCCACCTAAGAAACTCTCCCAATAATCTTTGTCCTCGCCGAACAATGTACCACCCAAAACTCGAAGTGCCAATGGGTTTCCCTTACATTTCGATGTTGCAATACGTGATAGATGCATCCAGTTATCGGGGGGACAATATTGTCTAAATGCACGCAAGCTAAAGAGTTGAATAGATTCATCATCATTCAAACACTCAATACCATAAACCTTTGCCATTGCATTTTGAAGCACTTTTTTGTTTCTTGTTGTCACGATGATTCTGCTCCCTGTGGCAAAGAGTTTGGTGAGGTTGAAGACATCTCCTAAAAGAAATTGCTCTAATTGGCAATGAGTCTCCACAGCATCAAGAACAATGAACACCTTCAAGCGAGAAAGACGAGCTCTTCGATAATTCATATCTAAATCTTCACGACCTAGATTATTCTCGGACAGCAATTTTGAATAGAGCTCATGCACTATTCCCTCAACCCCACACTGCCTTTCGCAATTTTCGTTGATGTTCCAAATAAAATGATGCTTGATCTCTTCTGTTGATGAAACCATCCTTTCATAGCAAGCTTTGGCCAGCGTTGTTTTCCCAACACCACCCATTCCCCAAAGCCCAATGATGCGAGTATCATCTAATGAGTCCATAGCTAACAGTTGTTCGACCTCCCAAACACGTGAGCCCAAACCAACCAAGTTGTTAGACTTGATACTTGGTGACATGTCTGTTAGTAGCTTCATAACATCTTCTACCATCAGCTTGATCAATTTGGATTCAATTCTAAGAGTCAAAGGCCAAACAAAAAAAAAACAAAAAGAAAGAAATCCAAGTGAAACCATGGAAGTTATGACAGTAAGAGCACAGTAAGAAACTATCAAGAGGTTGATTTGGGTGTTGAGTAACTAGATTAGATGCCTCGAATTTTTTCAAACTTTCTATGTTGGATTCGAGGTTTTGATCCATGCATCCATCTTACTTATGTTTTTAATTTGTAACGTGGACATGCTCTAACTTTTTTACAAACTTCAGATCGAATCAAACACGAGACAACTAGGATACCAGGTCCTGTAGTATTACCAATACTGTAGGATTCCTTAAATCAAAATATTTGTACAACAGAAGCTTGTAATCAACAGTATCGTAGAATTCCCATTCAAACAGTCAATTGAGCTTGTTCTTTTTATTTTTATCTTTTTGTAAAAATTGACCAACTCTAGAAGCACAGGAACTATCATGAAATAACTACCACCTATAGAAAACCAATTAATATGCAATTTAATAAGAATTTTAATCAGTTCTAATAATTATCTTAGCAGTTGAAGGAGGAGTACTCACTGGATTGCTTGGGAGGTATGTCCAGCACAATTAGCCACCGTTTTCAAAGCACCCCTCCATCTCTTGTCGTCCTCTGGGCTAGATTTAAGCTTTTCATGGATGGTAACAGAGTAATTGCCAGAGTCCTCTGCCACGTCAGACCAACCAACCTTGTAAAATACTGGCAGCGCTCGATGCCCGAGTTTTGCCATGCTTTGGGCAATCGCTGCCACCTCGTCCAAGCACCAGGTTGAATCCGCAAAATTTTCAGAGAAAATGACAATGGAAAGCGCAGATCTTTGGAGGACTGAGAGGAGCTCGTCGATGGACTCCGTCTTCCGGAGCATGGTGTCGATGAAGACTTTAATTTTCCTGTCGGAGAGAGCAGCTAGAAGATGGCTTGTAAAACCATGCCGGGTGTCGTCGCCTCTGAAACACAAGAAAACATCGTAATCCCATTCTCCAGTATGCATGGCACTATGAGATGATGAGGCCACTAAAGCTGAGGAAGAGGAGGGAGCCATTAAACTGGGGAGATCTTGATCTACGTTCTTCTAATTAGCTTGTTAAAGGGACAGTCTTTTAACAAATGGCTAATTGTTAACAACTAAAGGCTGAGTATGGACTCTATGGAGGTTTGACTTGACTTTCTTTAGCTACAATTTGCCCCGTTTTCTTTTCCCCTCTTTTCAAGTATATACTTAGAGCGCTTACTTCCTTAAAAGAAGGGGGGATTGACTTCCTGGGTCATTGTTTATTATTGAAAATTAATAACGAATCAAGAGACATGGAGGTGCAGACTTTATGCCCTGCCTCTGGGTTATTATTTATTATGTACCTGAAGGTGCAAATTCCATGAACTTTTCTTCTCTGCCCCTATTGTGAGAAGTCCATAATTCAGAATCCAGTTTTTGAGGAGGCAAAACCTGTTTATAAGGATAAAAGAAGCAATAAGTAGGGGAAGTGTGGAAATTTCCAACAATAAGAGGAGTCTCATCAAAAAGATTTTCAAATTTCTTGTTGTCATTCAAATCTCTTGGTCAAAGTCAAACTATATTCCCAGACATGCAGCCCCTGAACTTCACCTCTATTCAGAAGGATGCTAATGCAAATTCAAATAGCTTCGCATCTCTTACTTTAGATCAGGGTTCTGAGAAATACTGCAGAACAGTACTGTTTCCACATACCCAAAATAACTCAATACTGACTTGATTTGAGCACTAACAACTTTCAAAATTTCTTGTCACCATTAAATTGCATCAACCATATTACCTAACTTCTTTTATCTTACTAGCACTTTATTTCTAATTTTTAATGGAGTAGCTGTACAAAAAAAGACCAATTCAAGGCCGTATCATTAGAAAGCACGGCCTGAACTAGTCAACTATCAAACTTTATTAACAGTTTTGACAAGTTAATTTCATAATGATGGTTGCCAATCCTACTTTAGATTCAGCTTAATGGTTACGCTAATTTTAAGTTTCAGCTCATTAATTTTAAGTTGTCATGTGTATGGCTATATTCATGAATCCACAAGAAGAAACAGGAGAACCTTGCAGTAAGATTTAGGTACCTGAAGATGCAGACATGTGATCTTTTTACGTTTATAATTTGCCACTGTAGTGTGAAGTCAATAGCTCAGAATGCCGAAATAGAGGTGCCAAAACCTGTTAGGAAGGAGCCCCAAAAGAAAAGAAACTGTTGACAGCTAAGCTAAGAATTCCCAAAGTGCCTTCCATCTCCAATCAAGCCACTAGAGTATCCGTCGAAGCTTTGGTCTTGTTTTTGAAGATAAAAGAAGACACAAGCAAGGAAGAAAGGAAATGTGGAACAAGTAACTAAAGGAAAGGAGAACATGGCAACAGGCTGCATAGCTCCATAATAATTCAACATTCTGTTTAAGAAGCAACAGTCATACCCAGAAATCCCAAAAGAATTACATGAAGTAAACAAACAATAACAAACCTGGGGCTGGAGATCATGCAAGGAAACAAATGAGAGTCTGTTCACCAAACATTTGTCTCTTAATAGTGCTTAAACCAGTAACCAAAAGCATGTTAAAGCTGAAAGTTCTTCAATTCAAGAGATCTACTTCCTTCCCTGAAAACCAGAATGAAACAGTGCAGCCAGCTTAGTTCAGCAATTTATGTATTTTTTTTGTTCCATTCCTGAAATTGAGGAGTCAAATCATGTTGGAGCCATAGCAGAAATCCTGAGAATAACTTCACAAATGTCTTTCCCAAATAGCACAATGTACAATATCTAACAAGTAACAACATAGAAGTTGAACATGCTGCAAGCTCATAATATAACAACACTCATCACAAAATACAAAGAAATGCCAAATGTCCACAATACAGATAGATATTCCAACAAAACGCAAATACATTGCAAAATGCCATTCACTTAATCATAGTTGGCAGAGAACATCGAAAGCATCCGAAGACCACACCATAACAATTGCAATGTTTTTTATCATTACTTCCTTACCAATGCGGTTTTGAAGGAGGCAAATGCACCATCACACATGAATCATCCTTATCATCCATGCTGTTGTAGGCAAACCCTTACGGAATCTCACTCACTTTACAATGCTCAGGATCACAAAAAAGCTGCAAGCCTTTTCTGAACGGGAAGTTGGCTCCTCAGAAACCAAATTGTTCTATCACTCTACTACCAGTTTTCTCTCTTTCCACATTCACAATTATTCTGAGCACGAGAATTGAAAGTGAAATTCTAGAAAAGCTAGAACCAGAAATATATAAAAGAAACTCACAGTGTTCTTCATAATGCATCTCCAACGGTCTAACTTGACCCTTGTTTATTCGGTCTGGTACCACTTCAGTTCTGGGTAACATACATATAGACACTAAAAGATGATGCTACTGAGGAGTTCCTGATCTCTCTCTATATATACAGACTACTTCACCACTAACACTGTTACATATATACAGTCTAAAGCATGAGATTTAGCTGATAACAAAGATTTGAGGGTGACAAAACTGCAGCAGCCTCTCATGGAGTTTTAGTGCCTTCAGTGACCAAGTTTCCGAGAAGAGTTACCATTGAAGATGATATCTTGTAGGCGCGATTCCAAGCAGTTACTTAGGAGTTTGGCCAACCATTTGTTGAGTGCTCACAATGAGGCAGGATCTTCTTTTTTGCAACAAGATGTGCTTGAATGGCTTTATCATTGGCAACAGCTTCCTGAATGTTTCGGCAAACTAGATCGCACAGCTCATCCAGGGCCAACATAGGAAATGGTTCCTCAATCAGAACACCAACCTACAGTAGAATATTCCACCATAAACAGCTGCAGCAGATTGTTTATGAAAGAGAAAAAGTAAACTGACTATCCTGTATTTCAGAGAACTCAATCAAATCTAACCTCTTCTATGCAGAACAAGGAAGCCGCGCTGATGAAAGTAGCAGGGACAACAATCCAGTGGCAATCATCCCAAAGGATTATAGGAAGGGTGAGATGCCAAAGTACCAGAAATCTCGATGTTAAGCGAGTATACGAGAGTGGAATAGGGATTCCTATAAGTTCTTCGCACACATCGATCCCCTCGTGGAAACATGACATCTTCGACTGCTGCACGCACACACACACACACACAAGATATAACAAGGAAACCACCATTTTGACTGGGAGTCCAAAAGGAGAAGTGGAACAACTGCAGAAACTTCAATCAACAAAATGAGAGACACAAACCAGCAGATTCCTCTTGGTTTCCTCCAAGCTCAGTAGTCTAAGGCTTTGTGAAATGAATCCAATGAGACACCTGGGCCGATTCCTGGAATTGAGCACCACTGCAAGATCATCCTCTTCCAGCACATGCCGGAGGTCTTGGCCAATGTCTGAACCATTGATCACATGGCACTGCAACAAACGAAAATCTCCTGTGATAATCAGTGAAATGAATCATTTCAACAGACAACATGTTCCTAGAAAGACAGATGTCTGAACTCATTAGCTCGAATTTCATGAAGTCTAGCACTAGAGCAAAAAGGGAGAAGGGAAAACAATTAGACCTTGAGCGCAATCGGAAAGGCCATAACATACTTCAATAGCGCATTCTTCAGAACGGCATCATCTCTAGAACCATCCACACTGGCGGCGATAATCTGGCCGGCGAAATCATTAGTCCCCGAGACCACCTTAGTCCAAGCCTTCCTACCCACTTCGTACCTAGAGTAAGAAGCCTCGGTCCTGAACACCAGCAGAAGCGCCAGCGCCGGAGCCGTCAGCTGATACGGCAGCGAGGAAGCCCTGAGAATGGGGAGAAACCCAGGGAGGAAATGGAGCTCCACCGCGGAGTTGTACCCAGCAACAAACACTGCCACCAGGGTGAAAGCAATCACCGGCGGGACCAAGGACAGAATCACCCGAGACGAGGCGCTGGAGAGGAGGTGGCGGACGTGGCGGAGGGAGCTCCGGTGCTCGACCCATTTCTCGGGGGTGTAGAGGGACCGGTTCTTTCGCATCCCGCGCTCCTTGATCCGGTCCGACCAGTCTGGTATTGCCCGGAGGACGGAGATTAAAGCTTTCGAAGGGTTGTTCCGCGGCGGAGAAGGCGGCGGTGGAGAGTGGGAAGAAGAAGAACAGAGGGTTTTGAAGGAAAGGGTGAGCTCTGGAGGTTTGGAGGCGAAGGTCGGGAAAGTGCGTTGTAGTGTGAGGAGATTGTTGGGGGTGATATCGGCGGGAGTCGCCGAGATTCCGCCTCTACCGCGGGGTATGAAACTGGAAATCGCCGCCGACGACATTTTCTTCTTCCCCTCCTCGGGCAGCTCAGCGGTGGCAAGGGTGCATGCACGGCGGTGGTAGGTGGGCGGGCGAAGGATATTATTCGGGCAACGAAGCTGGAAACTGCAAAACAGATGTGTGATACAGAGGAAGAGAGAGAATGAGAGAGTGAGAGAGAGGGGAAAGAAAGCGGTAAATTTCAAATTAGGTCACTGATCTATTCTTGTAGTTCAGTTTGGGATACTAATTTATTATTAGTTCCATTTTAAGTCACTATACTAAGAACCATTTCCAAACCAGCACTCTGTAACTACGCCATAATCACTCACTCAGTCATACACCACAAGCTTCTCATATTCCTCATCAGCAATGGCTAGCATCATCGCATCATCGCAATCCACAATCCCACCTCGCTTCATGAACACCTTCAGCAAATTCTTCGAGAATCCACTCACCAGCGCCACCCCATTCTGCGTTCCCATCACCGGCGTCGCCGACGAGTCCCTCAGGTTCCAGAACACAATCTCCGGCACCCTGTTGTACCCTTTCTCCCCAAACTTCCTCTGTATCGCCTGATAGTCAGTTTCCCAATTCCTCTCCTCCTCCTCCAGCCACCATCGCCTCGACGCCTTGTCGAACTCCATGTCGCTGAAAACGAACACCCGCTTCACCAGTTGATCCTCCGTCAGGTTGTTTAGCACAGCGGCGTCCAGGATCTTATCAAACACTTTCTGGAAATCGGTGTTCGATCCCCAATCCATCGTCCTGATGAACTCG